CAACAGGGGCGGAAAAAAGTGGGGAAAAAACAGGTTCCCGGGGGAGGGGTTAACCCCGGTCCGGAACAAAGAAAATTTTTTTTTATATTTTTTTGGATTTTTTCAAAGAGGGTTTTTTTAGGAAGGGTACAAGGGTGAAACGTTTTGGTGGGGGACGGTTGTTTTTTGGGGTTGTCCAATTTTTTTATTTCCCGGCCCAAAGGGGGGGGGGGGGGGGGTGCATTCATGTTTTTGCATGCCTTGACAGTTAGACCATTGACCACGCGTCCTCGAGAGGACGGGGCGGTGTTGTTGCAGGAGCTCATGTTTCGCGTGCCCTAGTGGTTAGACCGTTGACCATGTGTCCTCGAGAGGACGGAGCATTTTGCGGGGGGAGGGGGGGGCATGGCAGATTTATTGTTCACTTTTCATGAATTTTCGCTTCACGTCGACAGGCCGTCTCGTGTTTTTCCCGTTCTTCCTCCAACCCTTTCATGTTCTTCGCCCGGTGTCGGGTATTGTATAGTCTTCCCGAGTATGGTGAAAATAATTTATCTGTTTTAGTTTTTCTTCCGATTTTTTCATTTTTTCCCCTGATTTCCTCCAAGTCCTCTGTTTCGTAGGTTGGTTTTAAAGACTGGGTTTCACGTGTCGGGAAGTTCCCTTGCAGTTCACATTCTTTCCCTTGCAGCCCACAATGTCGTAGCCATGGCGACACTGTATGTTGCGTGGAATTTAGGTTGAGGCATGACGCGCTCTCATACATACGTGCAGACGGGCAGAAGCAGGCGGAAGGTGTCGGGAAAAGATGATTGGGCTGTGGAACGACACGTTCCGAAACACTTGCTTGCGCGTTGGTCGGACGGAGTGGTGTAGCTTCGGGTGCAAGCGTGTATTGTGTGTTTCTTGATAGTTTTTAGCATCGACCGAGTGAAGTGGCTGGGAAGTGTTGTGTGTGTGTGTGTTGATGAGGTGTTTCATTCTCCCTTTTGAGGTTGTGTTCGGTCGAGGGGGTAAGTTCGTGACACGTAGCAGGAGACGCCGAAACAGATGCCTGTTTTTTTTTTCCCCGATAAGTTTGCAGATGTTGTCCTTACTTTTTTCTTGTTTCCGAGACGTCTTTGTCGTAGGTCGTACTTCAAGGTCAAGAGTGAGAGAGGGGGGGGGAGAGAGCGAGATGACGTTGGCGATGACGGCGCTACGAATGGGCAGACATGCATGTATGCCTCCGTCATCGCGACGGTTTGCGCCCGCACCCGCCCGCTCGTTCATGCTGAAGCAACAAGCTTTTGTTGCTGGGTTATTTATTGGTTATTTTACTCTGTGGTATCAATATTCGGTACCACTGTAAGCTCCTTGTTGCGGGGTTCACAAACAAAACGAAATTCATATTCAGCACGAAAAACGATGTGTGTAGCCGTCTGTCTGCCCCTGCCCCGATAACATGCTGAAATTTTCATGGAGTGGATTGTTCTCCCAACAATAAACAACACGCGAGAGCGAGAACACCGGAGAGAAGAAAGCTTTAAGAGAGATGAATGCCAGCAGGGGCTCAGGTCAACCCGACGCCGCCCGCAACACCGGCGGCGACAACCGCAGCTCCCGCGCCGCGCCAACAGCCCCAAGCAGCACCAGCGCCGGCGGCTGCGGGGCCGCCGGCTGGCGCCGCAGGGAACCCGGACCAACAACAACAAAACCCTTTCCTTCCGCCGCGGGCGTCTGTACTGTGCCTTGTAGCTATCTGCACCACGCACGGCGGGTTCCTCGAGCGCGGTGCATTCGACGTTCGTTCACAATGCGAAGACAGCAACAAAACAACGGATTCTTCTGATCGGCGGCCTGATGGATGGGCCGATCGCCGGCCGGTGTGGGCGAGCGACCGTGGTGTATCGCCGTATTTTTGCTGGCCTCGGCGAATGTCACCAGCTCTATGTACATTTTCCCCGGTGCCGCCAGGTATCCAAGAATTTTGCTTCCTGGAGGTTCTCGGGAACGCCAAAAAACTTGAGAAGTGTATATAATAAGTCGACCAGCGTGGGATCTCCTGCCTTCCGCCGCCGGAAGGGCGCGATCAAGACCGTTGTGTCGCTCGTGACGTGGACTAGATGTAGTCTGGTGTATGTGTTTTTTCCGAGGTGTCGGGCACTGCTGCATGCACCAGACACCCCTCTGTTGTTCCAGAATGTATTGTCGTCCCATTGATTCAACGACACGATGTCCATCTCTTTCCCCCCCCGTTCTCTCGACCCCCCCGCCGGGCCCCTGCTGCTCTTCATTGCGACCGTCAGAGATCGAGAGAGCCAGCCATTTATTTGCGGTTACTCGCGCTCAACATCACACTCCACAAGGCTTGGCACCCCACCACGATGAACCTTGAACCTCTGACTGCTTGCACCGGAATCAGGAGGAAAGAAAACCATTGCCCCCAAACACAGCACAAGAATATATTCCTATTCTGCGAGAAGTCTTTGAACCGTTTTTTTTCTGCTCTCCGCACTGACTGGCGGTGACGCTCTCTCCTCGGGGCCAATAGCACACGCCACGCTCAACTGTCCAACAAGCAAGGCTCAGAGCGATAGTTGGAGGAGAACAACGGACCGGCGCTTAAGTAACAAAGAACTTACTTGTACCAGCGCGGGCAACTAATAATACATGATGTTATGGTCCAAACCACTTGTACGAGCCGCCGACAGCAAAACAAAAATACCACGACAGCACCGCCGATGTAGTGCCAGTATACCCTCTCCCGGCCTTCTCCTATGCACCACCCCTACCGTACAAAATATGCCTATGAGCACACACACACCCTCGCTACATCTCTCCCTCTCTCTTCTCTCTCTTCAGCTGGGCGATTAAAAGCCTGGACAAAATCATCTCTTGGCAACATAAAAACCATTACTTCCTAACACGAGAACGACACAGCATCGACACACTTACTTTAAAAACTTACCGACGACAACGGGGGCATACGTAGTGCCCTGTCGCCTATGTCTAGTTGTACATGCCACGGACGTTTATTTTGATGGAGTAAAAAAAATTCTCGTGACAGACCTCCAAGGCCCGGAGGACAGGGGCGCGGCGGGGGTGGGGGTGGGGGTCGAAACAAGATCCATCTACACCAGCGGGGATCCTCTCTAGCGACCTGTGGGCTCGTTCTATCCAAAGATAGACCTGTGTCTGATTGTGCACTTGGTTGTTGTGCTTTTGATTGTGCGGGGCGATGACCATATCGCCCAGTCCTGCCTCCGTCTTGTTCAAAACACCACACGAACATGCTTTTGTTCAAGGTAGGCCATGTGATGCAACTCTTTTCAACCAGTCGCCACCTCCTTGATACCTCACACGGTTCTACTGTACCAGGCCGCGGGGGGTTGTTTGTCCTATCTCACTTTCACGTCACCATATCTGGATACGTACGCTCCGCAATTCTTCTCCTCCGGTATCTGTCGTGCCGTGTGTCTTCTCTCGGCACTTCCCCTCGCAAAAAAATCGGACACTCCTTTCTCTCCGTCTTTTTCTCTCTCTCTCTCCCCCCTCCTTTCTCCCCCTTCTTCTCTCTCTCTCTCTCCTTTTCCAGATGTCTTTTCTTGACTCCCTCTCTTCGTCCGCCGTGGTGCCCCCCCTCCCCATTAGAAGAACGGGTCCTTGCTCGTCGTCTTGTGGGTGATGGTGTTGTACCAGACCTTGGTGCCGCTCACGGAGTCGAACAGCTCCTCCCAGCAGCCCATGCGGGTGCTGCGGCCACGGCCACCGCCGCCGCCGCGGTCCTCCCCGTCGACGTAACCGCCGCCCCGGCCGTTCTTCTTGTAGTCCTTGTTCTTCTTGCCCTTGCCGCCGAAAAAGCCGCCGCCGCCGCCGCCGCTCATGTTCTTCTTGTAGTACTGCTTCTGCTGCTGCTGCTGCTGCTGCTGCTGCTGCTGCAGCTGCTGGCGCTGCTGCTGGCGCTGCTGCTGCTGCTGCTGGTGCTTCCGTTGGGGAGGAGAGGACGGAGGCGGGGTCAGGGGAAGACTCCACGGCGGGTTGACCCCGTCGCCCACGTGCTTGAGCGGCATCCCGGGCTGGTCCGTCTGCTGCACCAGGAGGCGGTACGTCGACTCCTCGCTCACGTCGTTCGTCCTGTTTATCGTCGGGTCATGAATCAGGGTTGGGGGTGCGGGTGGTGGTGAGGCGGGAGGTAAGGGTTGGTACTAATGAAGATGGGACGGGGGATGGGCGAGGATCGGGGTTGGTCGCGTTCGTGCTGTAGTGTGATGGGTCTTTGGCGTTTGGTTCTATGGGGACCAAGTTATTTTTCTGGCTTTCTTTGTGTGTCTCTTGCAGATGATGCCGTCACCGCCAACAGACAAACCGACATAATATATCGGCAGATGATGATGATGATCAGGGTTCTGCCACATGCAGCGGTTAAGGGAACAGAACGTGCTGTTCTCGCGGCCCGGACCGCTGTGCCGACGCCGTCTCACGTGTTGTAACGGCAACGA